TAGATAGATAGATAGATAGATAGATAGATAGATAGATAGATAGATAGATAGATAGATGATGGATGTATAGATAGATGGATACCTACCTATATACATATATGCATATATAGTGTGCGTATAGCTATGAACAAGATACAAGGCAGATAGACAATAACTATGAAAGGGAAGGCACTAGCTGAGACCCAGAGAGAAGATTTTTCAAAGATAGATCACTTAATACTTAGACAGAAAGGAGCTCCATTTATGAACTGACAGTTTCAGATCCAAGTTCCACAGGAACAATGTCATGACCTTCATGTCCTCTAACCCCAAAGCGAAGATAGGAGAAATTTTGTCTTTCTATCCCTAGCTACAATGGGGAAAACCCAATAAGAGAAGGGACAAGTCTACAAAAGTAGACTGAGTAAAACTAATCACAAGTGCCTCTTTAATCATCAATTGACCCTTAAGTGGCTTACCAAGAACTCTGCCTATGACTATGCCTTCATCAAAAAGTCCCAAGGTTCAGGGCTTTGGACAGATATGAGTCTCTGTCTCTGAAGGCAACTGCAGATAACTTTCTCATTTCTTCTGTGAGCCCAAGGGACAAATGCTTCCAAAGAAATACATGAATGATGCAAATTTCAAACAAAATCTCTCTCCTATACTTGTATCTCCCTTCAATTATCTAAGATCATGAATGACCTCATCTTTTTCTAAAAATAGGAAGAAGTCTTGTTCCAGAAGGATTGCTAATACAAGATTCTCCATTTGACTGCACAGAAAATGGTACTTTGCCAGAATTTATAATTAATAAGAATAGGACTGAATTATTCCAGTATCATGACCAGCAGACATTACCAACTCACTCTAATACAAACAGCTATTAATATTTTTAAATTAGTGAAGATCATCACCTGGTCTTTATCTCTACTTTCATATTGTCTGTGGGTTCACAGTGGTCATTTAATAGTTCTTTTGCATAATAGTATCGGCAGCACACAATAATGAGCCACAGAAACCAAGTGCCTACTGGCAGCTTTACCACCCACTCCCCAACCCTGGGTCTCAGATCCAGAGGGGAGTGAGAAGGAGAGGTATGCAAAGCCCCTGAGGTGGGGTTATCTTTCCCGGGTAGGGAAGCCCTGGGCGGTACATGGAGAAAGGAGGAATGTCAGAAGCCAGCAGTGGCAATGGTTTGGCTCAGACTCCCAGCTCAGAGCTTATGGCCAACTTACCTACTAAGAGTATAACACTGTGGGGGGAAGGAGATGTGAGGAATGGATCTTCAATGAAATAGGGACTAAATAAGGATAAACTGCTTACATTCAAATATGGGGAGATGATACATTTGTCCTTTCTGATCTCTATCATCATCAAGTTTCATAGAGGGAGTCCAATTAGACAAGGCCTGGGAATGGTTCTGTTATGTCTTGATGACCTTAAGAAAGGAATGGAAAGAGAGGAGATGAGGAATACCTGAGGTGGGAGTGGAGAGGGGAGGAAAGGAAGGTTAGGGAAAATTATCTCACATAATAAGGGTGCAGAACAAGGAGGAAGAACTGGTCAAAAGAAGGAAGAAAAGAAAGAGACAGAGAGTGAGACAGAGAGACAGAGATTTTGGTAAAGAAATGCATTTCACAATAAAAAAAAATAGGATAAAAAATAGAGTGGTTGGAGGAGCAATTATAGGGAGAGCAGATTAAGGAAGGGATTAGTCCTAAACAAAACAAACTCTAAGGATGTATTCTTTTTTATTTCTTTTGAGGCAACTAAGGATGGGAATGTGAGAAGATGCCTATAAATTGGAGAACAGATAATAAACAACTTATGATATATAAATATTATGGAATACTATTGTGCTGAACTCTTATCAGCATAATGACCAACTGTGATTTCAGAGAACAAATGATAAAACTACCCACCTCCAGAGAGAGAGGTAAAGGACTCAGAATGGAGAAAGAGACAAATTCTTTTTGGCCATGTCCAATGTTAAAATTTATTTTAACTATACCTTTTTAATAGGATTCTGGTTTTTTTGTGTTCTCAGTTGGGAATAGGGGAGATGTTATAGTGGGAGGGTGACAAGGCAAATTTTGCCTGATTAAAACAAATAAATATTTGTAAATATAGAAAGGGGAAAAGACTAAGAATACAAAGATCTCCAGATGAAGAAATTCCACTAAAACCTACAGCAAAATCAGATAAATCAACAGGGGAAATAATAAAATGAAAAAGTAGTACCAAGACATCTAAAAAGCATAAATGCCTTTACATAAATAAATATATAAATGACTGAATAATAAGTAAATTAATAGAGATAAACCGATTAGATAGGTAAGTTAGATAACAAAATTACAAGGCAGAGGAAATTAGACCAATATTGTACTTATGAAGATGATTTCTTGAACCTAAGTATAGACTTCATTTTTATCCTGTTAAATTTCATCTTACTCAATTCAGTACAACATTCTAGAACTTTTTTTAGATCTTAGCTTAGTCACTCGTTGTTAGCCATTCCTCCCAGCTTTGTATCATCTATAAATTTGATAAAAAAACATATCCCTTTAAGTCAATGATAAACTTGTTAAGCCACACAGGGTCAAGCCAATACATTAGGTACCCCACTGAACACCTCATTCCAAACTGGCATTGAACCATTAATGATTCATGACCCTTTGATTCTGACCATTCAACCAGTTCTGAATCCATCTTGATATACTGGCAGAGCAGACAGAGTCCTAGGGAAAACCTGAATTCCAATCCAGCCTCAGACACTTATTGTATGACCCTGGGAAAATGACAACTTCTATAGACTACAGTTTCCTCACCTGTAAAATGGAGATCATAATAGCACCTATCACCCAAGTTTATTGCAAGGATCGAATGAGATAATATTTGTAAAAACACTTAGGATTGTTGTTCAGTTATTTTTCAGTCATGTCTGACACTTCCTGACCTCATTTGGGCTTTTCTTGGCAAAGGTACTGGAGTGATTTGCCATTTCTTTCTCCAGCTCATTTTACTGATGAGGAAACTGACACAAACAAGGTTAAGTGACTTACCCAGGGTCACACAGCTAGAAAGTGTCTGAGATCAGATTTGAACTATGAAGATGAATCTTCCTGATTCCAAGACCAGTGTCCTATCCACTGTGTCACCTAGCTGCTCCTAGCACATAGTTGGTACTTAATAAATATTTGTTCCCTTCCCCCACATCTGTCCACCTTTTCCATTAGAATAGCATGAGATATTTTGTTAAAATCTAGGTCCATTATATCTATAGCATATCTAGATCTATATCAAGAATTTCTGCATCTTTTCCCTGATCTACCAGTTTAGTCACTCTGTTAAAAAGAGAAAACAGACTAGGGTGGCATAAGTCATTTTTTATAAAGCCATGCCAATTCTTTATGATTGCTCTTTTATTTTCTAGATGTTAATTAACCCCTTGTTTGACAATACATTCTAAATTTTTTTCCAGAAATCAAAGTCAAATGAACCAACCCATTGTTTGTGAAATCTATTCTATTCCCCTTTTTCAAAATTTGAGAAATTCCTTTCAGTCTATTTTTCTGCCTTTCTATACTACCAAAGTCAAATCAGTCTAGAAGTCTTCTTTTTAGAAATCTCCAAAGGAAAAAAATCTAATATCCTGTCAGTGACCCTTTCCAGCGTTTGTAGCTTTCATTATTAAGAGTTTCATTGCCATTCTGGGCCCCAAACTTTCTGCAGACTCTGTCCTTTAATCCACAGAATTAGAAGGGACCTTAGAGGCCATCTAGCTCTGGCCAAGAATTCTTCCTACAGCACATTCAATGAGCGAGCATGCAGTTTTTGAGTGAAGACCTCCAGTGAGGGAGAATTCATTATCTCCATTCTACTTTTAGATAGTGCTAATTTTCCATGCATCAAGCGCAGCTAGGTGGCACAGTAGATAGAGCATTAGGCTTGGAATCAGAAAAATTCATCTTCATGAGTTCAAATCTGGCCTCAGACACTTTCTAGCTGTGTGACCTTGCCTGCTTCAGTTGCTCGCCTTTAAAACGAACTGGAGAAGGAAAGTGCAAATCACTCCAATATCTTTGCCAAGAAAACCCCAAATGGAGTCATGAAGAATCAGACATGACTGAAAAATGACTCAACAACAAATTTCTCATGCTAGATAAAGATGACATACTGTAGTGTCAGGTTGGTATAATCCAAAATCATTCAAAGAAGGGAAAGTAGAGAGGGACCACCAATTTCTGTTTCCTATGGGTATAAAAGATCTCTTACAATTCTCACAGGGATCGTGGAACAGGACGGGAAGGGAAGGAAATAGGAATTTCTATCACACCTTCTATGTGTCAGGTACTCTGCCAAGCACTTTTTTACAAATATTCTCTCATTTGATGCCTCAGATGCTGCTGTGCTTTCGGCACTCTTCTTTCTGACTCACAACCCTAGATTGTCCTACTTTTCAAAAGTACTTAAATCTAACACGTTGAATTTCCCATCTTATCCTCCACCTCTCTTTTAGAGAAACCACACATAATAATATTAGTCCCAAAAAAATGAATACCCTAAGGCACACAGAAAAAGTAAGTGGAATTTCTGAGTTAATGTTTCCATTCTGTGCTCATCTCATTCCCAGGCGAATGACTAGAAATGGAAATGAAGGAGGACCTATACACCTGAGACTCAATCGCAATCTCAACTGGTATATTTCCAATCTCCTTGACTAAGTTAAAACTGTAAATTCCTAGAGGACTGACAGTATTTTCCTCCCTGGTTTAAACAACCTTAAATGTAGGATTAGTTTTGAATAAGTATATTAGCTACTATTTGTGTTGTAGAAGGTGCAGTAAGTTCTGCAATGACGGTCCACTAATGTCTGATCATTTTTAGTTCTGAGTTATGGCATTTGGGGTTTTCGATATTCAATAATGGTGGATTAATAATAATAATAGCTAACCATCAAATAAATTGTCCTGCCTAGTTTACAAAGCAAGAGATCATAGGCAAGACAGCATCATACAGTAGAAAGAGTACTGGACATGGAGCCAGCACAACCTGGTTTCAAAATATATCTCTGACATTTAGTAGCTTAGTGACTCTGGTCAAGTCATATAACTTCTCTGGGTCTTCATTTTTTAATTTGTAAAACCAAGATAGGAATAGAGCCCTGTAGTACCTACCTCACAGAGTTGTCATGAGGATCAGCTGAGATAATGCATGTAGGTCAAACTTTAAACTTTAAAAAGTATTATTTAGAACTAGAAGGGACCTTGGAACACCTAGTCTAAAACTCTCATTTTGCTAATGAAGAAATGGAAATCTAGAAAGGCTGTGATTAGTCCAAAGACACACAACTAGTAGATAACAGAGCATGACTAAAAAGGGCCTAACAATGGCCTGCTTTGTACTTTGCACCCTAATTCCTGAGTTGGGGGCTGCAGAAAAATATTTTACAAAAAAGCATGCTTTATTTTTCTAATTTACTGGGGGGGGGGGGGAAGGGAACATACTGAGGTCATCACACTGAACAAGCATGCAAGGAGAAGATGGGAGTTGACTACATTTTTTTGGATCAGAATACTTTACCTTCAAGTGTTGCTGTGTCAGCTCTCTGGCTCCTGGAATGTGACCTTGGGTCTCTTCAGAGAACCTGTTGTTCCTGGTGTAAAACTGGTCAGCTGGAGGGATGAGAGAAATCTGCCCCTTCCCTTTAGCCTCAGCAAGCAGCCCTCCTGTTACTGCTGTTTTATGCCTCTCATGAGAACCTATCCAGGTGGTTCTTGGGTCCCTGTTGATCTCTCTGGGATCAAAGAGACTGCTAGAAATCTTGACTACAGGCTCCTGTCGTGGTTTGTATAAGCAAAGAGGAAAAATCACAGCAGTTCTTAATATGGGATTAATGAACTTTAAATATATATTTCAATAACTGTATTTTGATATAATTGGATATTTTGTAATGCTTTCATCAAATTTCCCATGGTTGGAACCGTATTTTTTGCACCTGTGCCCTTCATGCTTGCTGAGGGTACTGCTATGTCTGAACCTTTTGGGTTTTACATTTACAAATTCACTTATTTCTATAGGTTCTCCACAAAATAATCCAAATAGTATAAAAAATGTAAATATTTAATGAAGACGCCCAGAGAGGATGTAGTAAAACCTGTAAAGAAATTGACAATGAACAGAAAAGTCAAGCCTGATCTCCCCAACCATCATGTTTTTTAAATCAAAAACAACTAGCGCACAGTGCCAAGGAGGACACTATCCCAGTGCTCAGGGGAGAATGAGATTCACAGCTATAAAGAATTATAATACAGAAAAGGAAACCCTAAGCAATAGCAAAAGAAAAATGGTACCTTTCATCCCCTAAGATCCCAGAGTTCTTTGAAAAGGACTTTCTCTTGGAGAAGCTGAACCAAACAGACCAGGTAAGTCACAACTAATGCCCAGTCAATTGCTCAAATCACATCAGTGGGAGGAAGAAGTTGTGGCTAAATTCTCTGAGGCAAATACTAATATTAGACCAGAGCGGGCAGACCAAGGATGGAAAGTTCAAAACAAATTTAAAGGGGACCAGCTGATTAGAAAATATCAGTACATGCAAATCCCATTTCTCATCTCTTTGCCTTTAGCCATGCCAAGAAGACACTATCTCTTCATTTCTGCCCTTTGAAAACCCAAGTCTCCTTCCCTGGACTTAAAGAATAGGTAGCATTTATATAGCAATTTAAGTTTTGCAAAGAAGAGATATTAGAATGTATATCCTTCTCATCTTTGCGTAGGGGACAAAGGGTATAAAACACTGCATATGACATGTGATTTTGTTGATGTGTTAATTAGTTTTACTAATCAATTTTTCTCTTTTTCATTCTTTGTTTATAAGCAGCCACTAAACCATACATAAGGATCCCTGATGCTGCATATTGAATTAGAAAACCATATATTAGCATTATATGTATATATTCTATTGCATTTTTATTTATTTCATTAAATATTTCCCAATTACATTTTAATCTGATTGGGGGCACTTGGGAATGTTACAGGCTTGTACGACAGTTCTAATTATAAGGAATGGCTCTCTGAAAAAGGCAGGTTGTTAAAAAGAGGAAACTGAGGCCCAGGAAAATTAAGTGACTTGCCCCAAGGGGATACTGATAAACATCAGAAGTGGGATTTGAACCCATATACCTGGATTCCAGAGACATTGTAATACTTTGCCTCTCCCTATGTGCAAAGGAAAAGAATGTGAAGAAGCTTGGAAAGGTAGGCTAGAGCCAGATTGTGATAAATAACTAGGTGGTATGATGGATAGCCCTGGGCCTGAAATGAAAAAGACTGGAGTTCAAATCCAGCCTCAGATACTCACTAGCTGTGTGAATCTGGGCAAGTCACTTAGAAGAGCATCTACTTTGAAGGGTTGTTGTGAGGATAAAATGAGAAACTATATGCAAAATACTTTGCAAACCTTAAATTGCCATATAAGTGCTAGGGATAATGATGATGATATATCCTTTGTAACAAGGAGGACCAGGTCAGAGAATGTGGATGGATCAACACAAATTCATCACCATTATTAGAGGAATAAGATTTCTTCAATATCGGGGGAGTGAGGGATGGGGAGGTAAATAGAATTCCATCTCTTTTCATTCAAGAGTTTCTTCTAATGAAAGGGCTGAACCAGATATTTGCTAAAGTCTCTTCCAGATGTAAATTCTATGACTGCAGGTATTAGTATACTGTTAATAAATTAACTGGTTCAGTTGCAGACAGAACAGTTTGTTTTTTGCAGGGGAGGGTTATTATTTACACATATAATCAAATAAAATAATATTCATAGAGCACTTTATAAACCTTAAAGCACCGTATAACATAAATACTAGTTATTATTATTAGCATTATTATGTTTTTCTGATTATAAAGATATTAGGAACAAAGGATGACAAATTTAGAACAGAATGAAACTTTAAGGCCATATGGGCAAACCCTCTCATTCTATGGGGAAGAAAATGAAGCCCAGAGAGGTTAAATGATTTGTCCCAAATCACACAGGTAACAAGTGAATCTTCTTACATCTTCATATAGATCATCTAACTCCTCTGCTTCTTGCTCTGGACTGACTCTTCCTTCCTTCCAGTTTTCTTTGGATGGTCTGAGTTTGTACAGAAAACCTTGGTGAAAATTTTCCTTTCCTTTTAATGAGCTCCACTGGGAATCCTGCAGGTTCCAGTTAGGGCCAACACAGTACCTGGGAGACTTGGGAAGCCACTTAAGTGTGTCCTGTGAGGAAACAGAAGACAAAATGATAGACTCTATTTTTCACAGGAGTCTGAATGAAAACACAACTACCTTGGTAAGCAGGTCTAGGGATGTTTATGAAAAAGTAACTTCATTAAAATAAAGGAAGGCTCACCAACTTAGAACATAGGGTCCCAGAAAATGGGGCAACCTTTAGTATTATCAACTTTACCATGGCATTAAAAGCTTTCCACAAACTGACCCTAGCCTACTTTTCTGACTTGATCTCATCCAAAATGAACTTCCCACCAGCTAAAGTGGTTTGTTCAACAGTACCCTGATTATGGTTTGCACATTCCAAACCCTGTACATAGAAAGCCTCCCCTCTTTCCTCTACCTGTCCAGATCTTATGAATCCATCAGGACTTAAGTTAAATATCCCCTATCTTCCCTGAAAAGCTATTCCAAACCACCATAGCCTTCCCCTGAACACAAAGCTTTCGCTGTTCATACAACCCATTTGGCAATTAATTTGTGTCCTGACTTTCTGCTATTGGTAAAATGTGATATTCTACATTAGAGTTATCTGTGCTTATCTCTAATCACTCCGTTAGGTTATGGTCTCCATGACAGCATGTGTTTTGTCTAATTTGTATGTTTCAGTACCTAGGAAGGTACTCTGTATACAGTAGGTGCTTAATGCTTGTTAAATGTAAATGCTTACAGCCAAAGGAGTATATTTGGAGTTGGATATTAAAATTTCATGAGATAGGGATTAAAAAAAAAAGTTCAACAACAGGGTGCAGGGATAGTGCCTGATCCTATTCAGTATTAAGTACCAGAGTATGTACTATAGAGTAGGGGTGTCCAGTACATGCCTGTGGATCGTTGTTTTTTTTTTTTGAGAGGCAATGGGGTGAAGTGACTTGCCCAGGGTCATACAGCTAGTAACTTTCAAGTGTCTGAGGGTCAGATTTGAACTTAGGTCTTCCTGAATCCAGGGCTGGTGTTCTATCCACTGCCCCATCTAGCTGTCCCCTTGCCTGTGGATTGCCTCACCACTCCCCAGTGTGGCCTGAACTAGATTCAGATAAAATGGGAAATATCTAACAAAACAAATAAAAATACAATAGAGCATAGATAGTGTCATCATATGGTTTTCTAAATCAATGTGTGGTTCACAGGGATTCTTATATATGGTTTACTGGCCTTGTTTCTATTTGAGTTTGACACCACTACTATACAGCAAACATTCACCCCAACTCTTTAAAGTTCTACCCAAAAGCAAAGGGCGCACTGAGGCATTAGCCACATAACAAACAAGACTCCTCTTGGGTTCTATGGCACCTAACATTGCTCAGCCTCTTGAGGGTAAAGGCTCAGATTCTTCTTGTAGTCTATGGGTTTGGTGTGTAGTTACCCAACCCATTCTGTGCCCACAATGCCAACCCTTTCTTACTCCAAACCTAAGAGGAATATTTTGAAGATTCCAGCAAAAGGGCTTTCTAGGAGCTATGAATAACTCAATTGCCACATACTCTTTAAGCCTGAACTCACTTTCCCCTAGACTTTGTATGCACTAATGGGAGGGTATGTCACAGACTTTGGGGGAATTTTTTACCAGCTGTTCTTACTATATCCTTTTAGCAAATGCCCTTTTCTAAAAGTGAATTAGGACTAGCTGATTGATAATCAATTGACAGTCCTGACCAAAACAAAACAAAACAAAACAAAACACACCAATGAGGGCTTATGAGCTAGAATTAGAAAGAAAATACCTAACCCATCAGGGTACCTCTAGATCCATGGAAGGATGAAATAGCCACCCTCTGAGAACTCAACCTGTCAGAGCAAGTGGAAGTTGGGATAGTTAATCCAAGCTATGTGCTACATGAGCATATCCTGTGGGCTTTCTCCCTCCTCTTCCCATATGTATGACCACATATGCATGACCAATTGTGCTCATTCTCCTTCCAGGAAGGGAAAATAGGAGTGTTATAAAAGAGAATGCCAGAGTCAGTCAAAGGACACAGAAATAGTTTTATGTCCAACTTCCCAAAGGCCAGACAGATGGCACGTTAATTCAGATCACTGTCATTGATCAAAGTCATCCTGAGGATAAATGGGAGAAGCATGATTTCTTTAATGGTTGTGTCCAGTGTAATTCTTTCCATCTCTCTTAAAGAATCTGACCCTTATAGTTTCATAGATTGGGGGAGCAATTTGTCTATTGAAGATCAGAAAAGCATATCAAAGATTTTTGGACTGAGTTTTTGAATAGTGTAAGAAAAAGTATTCTAGCAATTCTCAAAATGAGGGTCTTGCCTCACATTACTCAACATTACAGCTCTCTGTTTTCGTGACCCCTGGGTAACTTAAGCATCCCAAGCAATGCTGATGGGGAAGAAATCAGCAAACCAATTTAGGACTATCTTTTTGCCTACTTCCAACTGAAATGAGGACATGAAATGGATACTGAGCCTACGAAAGTGGTGAGGAAATAGTGAAAGGAGATTGAAATGGAAGTGACAAGGAATATAATATACTCTTTTCAAAATTTTGGAAACAAATATAAATCCATCATCAAAATGAAGGAACTATCCCCATAACTCCTGGCCAACAACACTACCATCTATCTTATCCTCAAAATAAGAAACCTTCTCCTTATTCTTGTGAGATAATCAGAGCTGCTTGAAGGTACCTTAAAGACAATCTTATTAAACCACTTTCATTTAACAAATAAGGAAATTACCCATTGAGTAGGTGTTCTTGTTTTTTTTTTTTTAATGTCATGGATCCCTTTGGCAATCTGGTGAAGCCTATGGACCCCTTTGCAGGACAGTGTTTTTACCACATAAAATAAAATACAGTTACAAAGGAAATTCATTATATTGACATAGAATTATCAGAAAACAAACAAGAACTTGGGCCTGAGGTTAAGAACCCTATCCACAGAGAGTTGTATCCAATATCATATTGATGTTATGTTAAGATCATAGATTTAGAGCTGGGGAGGAACTTGAAGGTCATCGAGTCCAATCTCTTCATTTTACAGATAAGGTAACTGAGTCAGAAAGGTGGAGTGACTCGTCCAGGGTCACACAGCTAGTCTGAATCTGAGGTAGGATTTGAATCCAGATCCTCCTGACTTCGAGTTCACCATGTTGCCTCACTACACTGTAATATTCCCTGCCAACCTTAAAAGGAAAAAAAAGCCATTTTCTTCCACTCACACAGGGCAAAAAGGATGAGGTGGAGGGGGGAGGTAGAACCTTTAGAGATGAAAAATGATGTCATAGTCACAGCATCTGAGTTAAAAACATGGCTCAGCTATGTCCTACCTTTATAACCTTGGCCAAGTCATTAAACCTGCTTCTCTGAGTTCTTGAAGGCTGTCCATCAAACCAATTACTGAAGATCAAATCCTATGTTCCCCACTGACTTCCATTATAAAACTGGAAGTGTTGGGACCAAAATATAATAAAATAATACTTGAGAAATCATGAGTTTTTTTAATCACCTAGGACAAGGATTGACTGAGAGCTTTGCATGGCTCTGTAGTCCCTACAAAAACAGGCCAAGGACTGGATTTAACCCTTGGGCCATAGTTTGCCAATCACTGATCTAGGGGAGAACACACAAAACAAATCACAGAAATATCAAAACTGTGGGCATTGTAGGGGGAAGGCAATAGGTATTTATAGAGCACCTAGTATGTGTCAGGCACTGTGCTAAGCACTTTTTACAAATATTATCTGATTTGATCTTCACAACAACCCTGGGAGGTGGGTGCTATTATTAACTATTATGTTCCTGTTGAGGAAACTGAGGTAAACAGAAGTTAAATGACTTGCAAGGATCACTCAGATTATAAGTGTCTAAGGCTGGATTTGCACTCAACTTTTCCTGACTGTAGGCCTACTGGGGCACCAGCTTGCCCTTTCAGAGCAAGGTGGAGATGAAGTTTGATTCTGGAAGAAGGTAGAGCAGAAAGTGATTTGTTTCATCTTGCTGATTACCAGAGGTGGACAGATGGAGGACAGGAGGTAGTCATTCTTTTCTTGGTTTTTAAACATTAACTTTCATGGGCATTCTGTTGCAGAACTAGGCAACCAAGCTTCCATTGACCCCTGATATACATATGTATGAGTTTCTTTTTTTTTTTTTCATCTAAGTGAAGAAATAAATGAGAATTGACCTACGCAACCTTTTCTCTTCTTCCCCACTTCTATTTTTTAAAATAATTTTCCATGAGTTCCAAAAAGAGAGAAACAAACAGTCAGATAATTTCTTGGTTCAGAACTACCAGGAGAGACTGATGCATAGGTGGGAAGTGTTCAGAGACCATCACAGCAGGGATAGAGATCAATGTCCACAAATGGATCCAGCTCCTTCTCTCCTTGGCTTCTCATTCTATCATAGGTCATGCAGTTAGAACTGGAAGGCACCTGACAGATCATCTAGTCCACACTCTTGGAGTCAGAAAGATCTGAGTTCAAATCTGGCCTCAGATTTTTTTTGTGACTAGGCAATGGGGTTAAGTGACTTGCCCAGGGTCACACAGCTAGTAAGTGTCAAGTGTCTAAGGCCGCATTTGAACTCAGGTCCTCCTGAATCCAGGGCTGGAGCCCTATCTCCTGCACCACCTAGCTGCCCTTGGCCTCAGATTTTTGCTGCCTGTCTGACCCTGGGCAAGTTACTTAACCTCTGTTTGCCTCAGTTTCTTCAACTGCAAAATGAGAGCAATAATAGCACTTACCTCTCAGACTTGTGAGGATAAAATGAGATAATACCTATAAAGTGCTTAGCACAGTGCTTGACATATAATTAATGCTTGTTTCCTTCTCTCCTTTCTTCTTTCTTTCCTTCTCTCCCTCCTTCCTTCCTTTTCTCCCTCCTCTTCCTCCTTCCTTCCTTCATTCCCTCCTTTCATTTTACACATAAGGAAACTAAGATGCAGATTTAATTATCTTGCCAGAAATCACAAAGGTGACTTTAGAGATTCTTAACCTGGGTTCCAAGAATTTATTTTTTGTTCGTTT